GAGTTCTTCGAGCGAATAGTCGCGTTCGAGTTTGATCTCCGGTTCTTCACCAGTCTAAATCAATCGATAATCGATCAACACTATCTTTACAGTATCTAAGCACAAGAGTTCGAAAGCATCATGCCAACCCGAAAATCGAGAGCGAGCTCGCAATCAACCCTAGGCAGATGGCTACCTGGTCCAGATACCGAAATACATAGGTTTAGTAAGGATGGAGAGTATGGGTGCTAAGATCCCTAACAGGAATCGAAATCTCATTCACGCTTCCCTCCCACATCTCAGAAGCATTCAAGTCAAGGAAGCAAAAATCAATAGTAATCGATGCCTTGAGAAAGTAGGCTAACGATTATCGATTTTGACATATCCTGCTGGTAGGTATGCCCTGCCCTGTTTTTGGAAATTTCTACCCTATGGAACCACGAAAGCTTGGAAAAATCAAAAGGAACCCTCCTCTTCTTTCCCATTAGAGGACCCTTAATGCTCGGGCGTATCCCAAACTGATGAGAATGAGCCTCAGCACCATAAAGCGTAAGAAGTGCCAAAATGGAGCTTCACCTACGTCACACGTTATCCTACCACTCCAAAAAGATGAGCTACCGGAGCCGGCATTTGACCAATCGCAGTAAAAGTGGGCGGAGCTGCCCGGATTTGGGCGTGGTCCGCCGTTCAATAGGATAAGGTTATCTATTGAAGCAGAATGAAAGGAATCCCAATAAAACCATTGAAAAAGCTACCTTCACCTACACGACACTGTCGTCAACTCCAATGCATTAGCCTGAATAGTTGAACAGCCGATCAATAAAATCAATAACCCGAACTCTGACTAACCTTTTGATTGAGATAAGCACTGGCGCCGAACGTTTCACTGTCCACCTCGTTTTCTGTTCGTTCATGCCGGAGACATGCCGGTACACCGGGTAGTACGGTAATTTGTGGAAGCGAAAGTAGTCGAAGTGAGAGGTGATCGAGTAGCAGTTGGGTTTCACGCTGAAAATCACTCTCTGAAGTTTTTGCTAAACCCCAAATAGCGATAGAAGAACCTATCGGAGAGAACTCCAGGTCTACAATAGCCATTAGTTCGCAAATTATGGAAAATTTGGTCACAAACCCCGCCCACAAATTCGCCACGCCCACAATAGTGGGCTCGCCCCAATCGCTCAGAAAAAGAGGCGAAACTTTGGCGGCATTCTTCTAGAAGTTGTGCAAGATTCTGCCTATTGAAGTTTGAAGTGCTCTACAGCTGTTCTTTTTCCCCTTTTTCCCGACCAGTGGGTACAAATCAGCACAATTCTTCTTTGTGCACCCCCCCCCCCAAACATACGCCTTTGAATCACATAATTTTTTGAGGGTGGAACAGGGAGAGGCCAAAAAAGCTAAGGCTGGTCACAAAAAAGCATAAAAGGTAATACCAGAGTAAAAAAAGCTGCAAGTTAATCGGAATCTGTGCAGGACCCACCTGGAAGCAGTCCAGTACACGATTCGGTTCTGGAAATGTACGACTACACAACGATACGCTCACATCGATGCCGTCGCCGTGCTGCACGAACACGAAAGCCGCCCTCACAGACGCAGCCAGCGATGGAAACACGAACATCGTCCGAACGAGGGCGTCGGAGGAAATCTGAAAAGCTACAGTTTGGCAGGCGAAGTGGGTGGGACTAGGCCAACTAATGGAAGGTATCTTCACCAGGCCGTTACCCATGGGTGAGGGTGTTTTCATATCAAATCCTGATCAAACCCGCATCTCCGCTGACTATGACACGGCCCTACTCTTACGGTTGACAGAGTACTGAACCCGGTCCTTCAGATCATCTCGCGTCAAGGCTTAGTCCTAGAGCTCCCACCTCCTTCCCTGGGATTTGGAACCGAGCCAGGCGCCGTTCTCTTACTGTCTGTGCCCTCCGCCATTCGTGGCAGGACCATGGAAGAAAGTTCAAGTAGTCCGTAAACCGTACTCTTACCCATACCCATACCATACCATGCCATTCCATGTAATCATTCATATGGCTGCCAGCAATGCATATGCCATATCTTGGGTATCCATACCACATTGATATCCTCACCCACCGCCATACCATACTCATACCTGAACCCTAACCCACTCCTACACTACAAGCAACAATTAGAAATACGGATACGTGAGCTCTACCCCTATCGTTTCCTCATTTATCGGTGACGTTGGTAGAGCTCACCAAAATTACCCTACGCTACCTAACCCAATGTCACCTTACCAACACTAACCACCTACCAATAAATCGATGGTATTGAGAGATAGAGATACAGTTAAGGTAGACGGCCTTGATGGCAGCTGCTTGTAAGGAACACTTCTGGGATCTAGCTCAAAATCTGTGGTGAAAGCTGACCCACGAGGACTTCTAAGGATCAAACTACAAGGGCACCCCCAGGAGGCCCGTGCGCGCAGAAGCCAAATTCGGCGACGATTTGCAGCGCGTTGCGTGTGCGAAGTGTGGGACGATGTAGTGCGGCACTCTATTAGCTGACGCGAATTCCGTTACGGGGGTACGCGCGGTGACGGGCGTCCGCTGACTTGCTTCTTGGCCGATGCGACGGGCCTCCGGGGGTACACCAAATTGACAGATGAAAAAAAAATAATCACGGACTAACCCTGTTGTTGTTGACCCTGTGTAGAAGGCGAAGTAGACGGCATGTGACCGGTAGACGACTCGAAGGGCACACTGTGCGATAGCTGTTGGCAAGCAGTGTCGCGCTGAAACATTTCCAATTCCGATTTCCGGTTTTTTCGAGTTTTCCCTAGTCCACTCACAGCGAAGATTGAGCACCCGTTATGCTTTCACAACTTCTGCGACTGCTGTGTATACGGAAAGACATGGTGACACAGGGTCAAGTCTGTTGGACAAAGTAGGGGATCGTATTTGGGGTTGGGGGGTGGAAAAGAGAGGGGGGGTCGTATTTCGCGAGGTAGCGTCAATGTTACAGTGAGGAAGGGATGATTTTTCATGGCACGGAGAGCGTAGTAGGTTGTTTCCTGGATTTTGAGTGCGAAAACCTAGCCGTTTCACATTTCACATACGACATTTTCTCCCCTCCCCTCCCCCCGCCCTCCCCCCGCTCGACGGCAATTTTGGAGGAAGAACTGGTCGGAGTTGGGCTGTGTTGTTCGACTGGTTGCAGATCAACTACTATAGAACGGCCAGCGATAGGTTGATGCAAGGGGCGAGGAAAGTGAGGAGGTTGCGGGCGTGATAGCTTTAACTTTGCAGGGGGAGGGGGGTCGTATCGAAGCCCTCCAGAAGGGGGGGAGGGGGGTCGTAAAATTTTCGAAATTGGTCCAACGTGACCGTTGACCCTGGGCATACCCTTCTTCTTTGTGAAACCCTTCTTTGTGAGCCCGAGAAAAATCATTCCTCGGAAAACCATTCACGACTGGGTCTTTTTCGGGGACCTGCAAAAACATGGCATATTCCGGGTTCTGGCTACTCAGAATAGTGTAGACCCCATAGGAGAACTTCTGCTACGTCTAATACCAGAAGTAGAGAGTCAGGTGATGTGAAAAACACTGCCCAATCAATACGTATTTAAACCACTATCGACTAAATCGCCAACTCTGAACGCTGTTGGCGAATGGAAAGGCGGCTTTTAGCCAAAACAAGACTCACCTATGGTTTGGAAAGTCGTTACCGCTCCCATCATTGGACCGTCAATCACCTTCGCAACGCTCCGTTGAACCGCCCATAATCGAGGAATCGCTCCTGCAACGCGTAGATTCATCACAGAAATCCCATTTGATGCCCCCATAGGACAAATTCCGCAGATAGCTCACCTTCTACACTCGTCGGCAACTGGAACGACATCAGGTTCGTTTCGCAACAATCGCCGACCGGTGCCAGCCCATGTGAGGAGCATGGCGCAACGAACACCAGATCGGGCGGATGGAGTATGCCCTGAAAGTGGTGCTTACGTCCTCACCCAATAAGTATCCCTTTTTGTGTTTTCTCGGCTATGTTAGAAGCCGTTCTAGGAACACATTTAGCGTGACAAAGACTCGATCGCAAAAGAAAGCAGTGTAAGGTCAGGGTAACTAACCCAGACGTTACCAAAAGAGGGTTTGGTGAGCGAAAGTTACCCAAAAGGTTATTGGGCGCGGCATTTTCAGGTTGTTTTTTAGGTTTCGTTGTTCAGCTCTTTCTTGGAACACATCAGTGCCAAAAAATGTCGCAAAATATCAAAATCAAATGCTATCGGCGCGCCGTTGGAAACCTTACCTTTTGACACACACCCGCTAGGGGGATGACCATTGATCAGACCTTCGAAAGCAAGTGGCTCTACTTTCTGATGAGAATTTGGGATGTCAAACCCCAAAAGCTCCATCCAGAGTCTCATTGTTAGTGGAGTTGTTTAGCTTATCCCCACCCACATTTTACCCTAGTTAGTCAAATCATAAAAGCATGCAGTTCCCTGAAAACAATTGGGAAGTGGTTTACCTGCTCCCGGAAATAATTCCTCAGTGAGCCAGCGATTATCGAGACGTACAGCTCGGACGTGGT